CCCTTGCTCCTAGAAGTAAGGCCAGGAGCCCTTGTAGCGTCCAAAAACCCAAAACAAAAAAAGAAACGGACCCACACAACCACCTCTGGCCTCCTTGCGCACACGAACCGCTCTCCCTTCCAGGCCAGCAATCCGCACACAAGTCTCAGCTGCCTCTGTAACAGAAGGCAGCTGCGCAGTGCTGTGAATGACACCTTCATGATCTTGGAAGCTGTGTCATAGCTGCTATGACTTCTGAATGAAATTAAGGATTGCACCACCTTCTAAGTTATCCCTGACATCTGATACTGTTTACATCGCTTACATCTCTCATCCACGCCTCTTCTATCGAGCCGTCACCCACCGCCGCCAGCGCTTGGCGTGCACGCTCCAAGGAAAAGCCACGCTCTGTGAGCTCCCTCAAGCGACTGGCTTGAATCTCCTCAAACCGAAACAAGCGGAATGATCCACTCAATGTGTGGCTGTAGCAGCTGCAGGTACTAAATACCAAGCCAAAACAGCAAATGTTCTGAGACGCAACAGGACCCTGCAAACGTGTGTGACATGTGCTGCTAGGGTGTGGAAGGGTTGAATTTCCATTAGAACTTGAAACCCCTGCTCCCCATTTCGGCTGAGGAAGTGAGTCGTTCATGAATGCACAAGGAAGAATTGACAACAACGTTCAACGTGTCGTGTACATATATATTTCTATATACATTGTATTTGTGTAGATTTTAAGAACTTTGTGTACAGCCAGGTTGCCAGCTCATTCTGGGATCCTGCTTCTCCTTGGAGGTGAACCTGAAAGGCCCAGCAATCATGCACCATCAACAACATCGACATCATCATCTGTTTCTTCATCTTGGGTTGGAGGCCATTACAATTAGGTTCGAGGCCATCGCTAGTAGGTTGGAGGCCATCGCCCTCAGGTTGGAGGTCATCGCTCCTTCTTGTCGTTGACAACTACCCGGAGTTGAGACCCCGCGGAACTCCAACTCTCACCGTTCCACGCCCGCCTGACAAAAGGAGTGGCCGCATGGCGCATGCACCGCACCCTGGATGAGGTTGTGGCAAACGCTGCCTGAGGGGCGAGATTAGCCGGGAGACAGGTCACACTACTTGGTCTGCTTACTTGGTCTTGTCACTTCACAACTAGTTAACTAAGAGCTAGAACGGAAAGCTCAGTTAGCTGATGTGCTTAAAGAAGCTACGTTGACTGTTGCCTGAAATTCTTTCCTATTTCCGTTTCGCCCCTGATTAATGTTCTATCTGTTTTGGCTTGGTCTCACCAAACGTGTCCTCACCGGTTTCCTCGTCTCCGACTCGTCTCCAAACGAAGTCTCTTGGTCTTTTCGAAGTCTTATCTTTGGCCCAGTCACACTGCAACTCTCTCAGGTGCTCCGGTGCCACCTGGGGGATCTGTCCATTCGTGCATGACTCCAGCCCTGTCTGACCCAAACTTGCTAACTGACACCTGGAACAAGAACTGACATCCCCGAAAAATCGACACAAAAAGGAGGGCTCCATTCTCCAAGCAAACCAAAACCTTGCGCTTTTCACGTACACTGGCTGCCACAGACCAAAGCCACTTGGACAGGATTCCCAAGGAATGACTTTAGAACGGCATTTAGGGTCCTAAGTCCTAAGCTTTGCACCTGTGGCCGTCCCATGGAGGTCTAATTGTGTCTGGCCAAGCGGCCAATGCGACCTCATACCCTGAGGCTGTCCGAAGCAGAACGCCCTTGCTTGCAACTGGGGACTTTCCAAGCCTTGAGCAAGCAAACTTCACAAGCATGCACAAAATGAACTGGAAGCAGCTGCTATCTGCAATGGTCACAACTGTCATAATCAGACCAGCAGCAGCTTGTCCACACCCCCAATCCTCAGCAGGCAAAATACAAAAAAGAACCCGTTGCACGCACCCAGTCAGCGCAGTTGCGAAGAGCCAAGCTTCTGTACTGTCTGAGAGCGCGCGAGGCTACCCATTTGTGGGATATCTGTGATGCCTTTCTCAATGGGCAATACCACAGATCCTGTGTAGCTGACACAGCTTAAACCTTGGAACATAACATTATTGGCCTCCAAAACGAAACATCCTTCTGCGCTCCTGTGGGTACGGAGGCGCTCCGGGTGAGCTTGTTCGGCTCAGTGCCAGAAGGCTCCATGGCGACCAAGGATCCCAGCTTCAGCAATTCAGCGGGTTGCAAGTTGTTTTGTCACGTTGCCTTTTTGGCTTTTGGGGAGCAGCACATGAAAACCTCACAGTTGGGCTGTTGGTACATTCTCGTCCACGGTCAACACTTGCAGCCCTGCCTTTAAAGTCAAGTCATTGAACTTTAAAGAGCTGCTTGCTCAACACATCCACTATATAGTCACTAGTGTAAGGGTTCGTCTCATGGATGGGCTCTTCTGTAAAGTTGCTTCGTCATTGTCTATACATTTGAGGCTTTCTAAGCTGAAAGTCCAGGCAGCAAGGATGGATCAGTGGCTTGCCTCATCTTTTGGATTGAGACAGAGAAGCATAGACCAAAAAAGAGTGTCACTGTACAACCATCAAAACCTCTACATCAGCGCATCACTGCTTCCTTGGTCAGCGCACCACTGCTCCCGCCTTCCAGATCTCTCACAGCAGCCAAATAGCCAGCTTCCAGGCCAGCGAAAAAGAAAGCCTCTGGATATTCTCGGTTCCTTGGATGAACTCCATTCCTGGACAATCACATAAAGAATACCCAGCAAAGAATGGCAAGGTACCCAGAGGCTTCACACACCTTATTGAGCTGATGTTGAAAGGACTGAAGTTCCCAGATGGGAATTATGGGGAAGGCTCGTGGATCAAAGCGCCAATGACAGTCCCCTTGACTCCCCTTGACTCCACTTCTCCCAGGCACGCCCAGTCCAGGATCTCCCTGGCCATCAAATGTCGTTGGTCGCGTTCAGCACGGAGCTCGCCTAAGAAGCTACTGACATCCACACCGAAGCCAATCAGCACCATTCCTGCAAAGGGTGCCTCGGCCCAATCGGATTGTCATCAAACAGTTACAAACGTAATGGATGCAGCCTGCCTGGATTCCACCTTCTTCCCAGCATTCGCGCAGTTGCGATAGCGCCACATCGCGACCACCGGAGAAGCCTCGAAAAATCGGAAAAACTTGATGTCAGAGCTAGCTCCAGTCTCGGTCTCATGCAGATCAAGGTCTCTACCCTCGGCTGTGCCTGTTGCCCAACCAGCGGCCTTCACGGCGGTTGGTGGTAGCATGGAGACAAACCTCGGCATAAAACGAGGAAACAGCCCTTGTACCCTGGTTGTACAGCCCACTGAAAGCTTTGCAGTCCTTTCTAGTCAGGGGAAAACAAAGGGGGGAATGACAAGGTGGACTATTAGAAAACCGAGAGCGAGCTAGAGCTGTTTTATTCAAAAAGAAAGAGTCAGAAAGTCTAACACTGCGAAAGAACCTTCTATTAGCTTCAAAGGAAGCACAGACTGGACAGAAGCCAAGCATGTCGTCTAAAGGCGCATTGTCAGCTAAATCATGGGTGCCCAAAGGTGCGTTCCAGCCCAATCCGTGCTACTAGTCACAAGTGCATCGCTAGTAGTCACAAGGGCATCGCTACTAGTCACAAGTGCAGCGCTACTAGTCACAAGTGCAT